TATTGTTGTAGTGTAACATAAAACTCAATATCATTGAAACCAGAATACTCATGATTGAGAAACATAGTACGGACATCTTCGTCATCACTAACTTTTAATTGGAAAAACATGACTTGGTTATCATAAAAAAAGTTGGACTTTTGTAAATGATCTGGTCCACTGGACCACACTGCATTTTCTTTTCTAACCTCTATTTCAATTGAGAGAAATTTGAACATCTGTTAATTGTGAACCTAGTAACTTCGGTATTACGAAAGTTGAACCCAAATACGTTACAATCAAATATCTCACCATTTATATGTGCATTGATCATATATTGCGGTGTTTGAACCATATCAACAATATTTCAGTGTGTATTGGTACTTGATAGAACTTTTTTCTTGTGTATTTTTTTTAGTGCAGTTTGAAACGTTTTGATGATTTGAAATATATAAATTGAATTCTATGCATGCACTGTTTTTAACTTATTATTGCTGCAATAATTTTCTCCTTATCTTCTTACTATTACATAATACGCATTTAATTTTCTTCAACTATATTTTCTTCTTATCCCATCAATTATTTTCAATCATCTTCCTCTAACTTATCTTGTTACTATGTCATGCATTATTGTCAATTATTTTCTTCAACTTATCTTATTACTATGCCATGCATTACACTTTCTTACACTTCCTTGTATGGGAAACACACACACTTGTACTTTTTAATAACACATTACTCTAAATTTATCATTCTTTATATAGAATGCAAGTCTTCAACATGCATGATTTTTTTTCTCTCGGATACAATTTCTGCAACCATAAAACTTAATTCTCTTTTGATTAATTAGAGTTTTGACTATAATTGATGGTCTGTATTGAAATTAATTTTTTATATTTATAATTGATTATTATAATTCAAGTGGAAGATTTGTAGATTAATTATTTATGAATTGACATAATTTATTAAGATAATAATAGATTGTACCATAATGAATTAATTCATTCAATTAAGTTTAATAAGGTGTGTATGTCTTTAACTAATTAATTTTTTAAGTGTTATCTTATTAGACCATTAAAGCATTATGTTTTGTAAAATTTAGACTACAACAAAGATAGTTTATTCTCTATTCTTTTTCTCGTTTCAATGTTAGTGTTGTGAATAATTAAAGGTATCTCGTTCTCGTAACTTCTCTTGTTATGTAATATATGCTGTCATTTTGTACCTACATATCAATTAAATTAAATTCTTCATTCTCCTGATATATCATTATGATTTTATGATGGATATTCATTTAAAAAATTTATCTATCTATGCGAGAGAAGCTTTATTTGTAACAATATCATGGTGGCAACTTAAATGTATTTGCAAGATACGAATATTTTCAATTATTTTCAATCATATTCTTCTAACTTATCTTGTTACTATGTCATGCATTATTGTCAATTATTTTCTTCAACTTATCTTATTACTATGCCATGCATTACACTTTCTTCAACTTTTCATATATCATGCTTATTTATGATAAGACCCTATTTTTGTTTTCGTATAACATGCATATTTATGATAAGATTCACTTACACTATCACATGACATGCATTACACTTTTGTCGTACTACAAGACCCTATTTTTGTTTTCATATGACATGCTTCTTTATGATAAAATTCACTCACACGCTCACATGCTTATGTCCATGAATGCATTACTGAAAGATGCCTTACAATAAGATTTCTCGTCACATGCATAACTTGTACCAAGTCGCCATATCATATAACCTTTTTCTTTTTCACCAATTCTTGCACTAAGGCGCCATATGATATCGCTTATGTGTTTAAATGAATCTTATGCGCCATATCATATGGCGTGTACCTTCAAAATGTCATGCAAATCATGTTTCTACTATTTAAATGGTCTTGCATGAATCATAAACACATTTCTCTATCTATATTCATCTCTTATTCATCTCAAACTTCCATACAAACTTTCACACATCTCTCTATCTATATTCATCTCTTATTTCATCTTAAACTTAGAAATTCATCTTGCAAAAAATGGCTCTCCTAACTATGGGTGATGAACACAGAGGAACAATCGAAAACATTAATACATTCGTAATTTATTTCCGTATTACTTTTTCTCACTTAATAATATTTCATCTTTTTCATTAACACATTCATAAGTTAATTCAAACCCTAATATTTGTTTTAGTTCTCCACACTTAATAGTATATTATCTTCTAATAATATTGCTTGTGTATTTTTCTTTTTTTTGTCAGAATCACAACAAATTTCAGTGTTGTGTGCATGAATATGTACCACACGACCCACACATAGAAGGGTATCTCTGAGAATGCGGTTTTGGAAACTTAATCAACATAAAGTCGTATTCGATGGGTAGACCCCAAATTTGTTCTTGTCTTGCTAGAACGATGGAGACCTGAGATCCACACATTTCACCTTTCATTCGGTGAATACACCGTTATCTTGGAAGATGTGTATATGTTGTTGGGTCTACCCATCGACGGTAAAGCTGTTAACGGTCCGGTGATGGTGTCTAACATTTTATGCGAAGATTTATTGGGTGCCCCTCTTGCTGTAGAAACAAATTCGTCTTCGGGACTACCCAGGGGCCAAGGTATTAACCTAAAATACCTTAGAGAATTATATTCTAGTATAACATTGATTGACGAATCAACTGAATATGAAAAGATACAAAAGACTCGGTGTTATATCATGATTTTATTCGATCATTTTTTATTTCCTGAAACTACTGGTAATGTTGTAAATATAATGTATTTAACGTTATTAGAAACATACATAAAGTAGAATCATATAGTTTGGGTTCAGTTGTTTTGGCCTATCTATATAGTTTCTTGTATAAAAATGCCAAAAAAGGCACTTGTTCATTTTTTGCCTGCGCCTATTTGCTACAAGCATGGGGTTGGTCAAGAATGTCGATGCTTGCCCCGGTCAACCATAACCCATTCACATTCCCCTAAGCAAACAAGTAAGTGTGTTATAAATAATAAATTTGAAATGTATAAAGTTTATTGTAACTAATTTCTATCTTTCCGTTTTAGGTGGTTAGTTTCGAAGATGAGTTACGTGGAGATGCACCAGAGTGTCCGAGTGAAGTTGCAGTCTGACATGCAACAAGATATTCCAGATGCTCCTACGCCATTGGGTAAATGACATAAAAAAAGAGTGGATGGTCAATGGGGTATAGACAATTGGAAAGACTACGCCAATGAGCTGTGTCAAATTTGGAAGGATAGACGCCGCCGCATCCTAAACGACCCAGTAATGGAAAGGGCTACACCAACTCATAATTATATGATTTGGTTTAGGTCGGTTAAGACGCAACAATTTGTGTCTGATTCGACGTACTTGATCGACCTGCGCCAATGAGCCTCCTCATTATACGTCCAACAACAAACGCCAATCCAACATCCAAGCCCACACCCATATCTACCCACCCAACACCAATTATCCAGACCCGCAACCCATTCATGCCACACACCCAACCAAATCAAGAGCCTAATCCATACCGCCAACCACACACCGACAACGCTATTGCATATAGCCCTGATAACTCATACGACTCAAACCCGACCCATCATAGCCCTCCACCAATGAACACTCAAACATCATCCCGCCAACCCACCCCACCATTATTTAACTATCTCACCCCACCATCCTCATTGTTTCGTTTCCAAAACGATTCAATACCAATTCGGCCAACCGTATCGTCCTCAACCAACCCAACCAGTACGACCCAACTTTGAATACATGTGCACTTAACTTAATTACGGCAGCGCCGTTGGCAGCAATTTACCGACTATTAAGGACAAACGCTTACAAATATATCCAATACACTAGAACCCTCTAACCAAGTACCTTTTCCTCCAGCCAGTACACATAGACCACAAATACCTCGACAAAACTGTAGACCGAAGGGACAGGTTAATGCCAGGTTAATGCGTCGGAGTGTGAAACAAGAGGACATTCCGAGCAGGCGGAGAATTGATTTTCAAATTTATAACCTTTCCTTTTCATGAATATTATCTTTTAATATATTTTATTTTATTTTTGATATTTAAGTGTTAAAAAACAATTAAAATAAAAGATAAAAAAAATATAAAACAACATTAATACCATATGAAATGACTTTTTTATTTATAAAAAAGATAAAATAAAATAAAATCAACATAGGCGCCATATAAAATAAATTTTTTTAGAAAATAAATAAATAAACGAAATCAACATTGAAATAAAATAAAATAAACTATAATACCATATGATATGGCCCTTTTGACTACTATGTCATACTAATACACCATTTGATATGGTATAACTAAAATGTTATAGCCAATCAAATAGTGTATGTTATGTCATACTAATACACCATTTGATATGGTATAACTAAAATGTTATAGCCAATCAAATAGTGTATGTGTTTTAGTTACGATTTATACGACACATATATGGCGTCTCCTTACTTCTATTTTCTATTTTCTAAAACTATGTTATTTTAGTAATTATTTTGAAAACAATATTTTTTAATATTATTTTTGAAAACCTAGGTTATATTAAAAAAAAAAAAATTCTCGCCAAGTAGCTGCATAATCGTTATTATTATTATTATAATAAAGATAATTTCTTACATGTCAATGAGTAAAACGTTGTTCAGTATTCAGTTCACCTGGTACCTGTTTAAGAAACAACAAACCAATAATAACAGGACAATTAAACGTTTCCTTCTCATTAGGTAAAGCATTTGATTTTGACCATATTACATGACAATGACTTATATGACAGATGAACTTCAGTGGATTCATCCACCACTCAAACCACCTTGTCTTTCACAAGGTCACAATATTCTCCAAGAACCAGTGGACAGTCCCAATAAAATGCTTGCATAAATTTGCTATAAATTTCTCAAGAATGTAGGCAGCACAATTCTCATATGAGGAAGGACAAATCCTGGGAGATCACAAAGTGCAGGAGGACCCTTGACTCAATCATCGCCTGTAAAATCATAAAATATGATCTTTCATCAAACAAAGTAATGAATACAAATAAATCAATACACTTGTTAATTCAAAAAATCAGTAGCAAGCAATTTTCAAGTGTTATCAATCCGGTGCCAATATCTTATACTTTTATACTTCTTAATATTTATTTGTGCATGTTGAAAACCACCTTTGCCTAGATCCACATGTGTGTATCCATAACTTCCGAATCTAAAAACAGTTGCATCAGTTATGTACTTTATGTTATTTCATTGAATTTTCTACTCTTCGTTTTCTAATTCTATTATTAGAGGATTATGCATCCAAAAGTAGCTTTATGTTGTCACTCTGCAGTTAAACTGTAACACTGCAGAACCTAACTTAAAACACAAAAAAACTACTACCACATTAAGAATTAAGAGACAATTGAAAATTTTCACTTAATAACAAGTGCTATCAGTTGCGGATAGCAGAAAATAGCAGTTTGTGTTAAATTATGCTGCACAATCACACTACAGTGCAGCAATGGGGCTATTTCACAACACTTTGTACTAAAGAGTGGATTACAATTTACAAGAGCAATTTATGCAAATTCTGCTATGCCATAGTGCCACTATTTGGCAACAAAATAGAAAAAGTTCTAGTTCAGATAACTGCAGTGTTATTAATCCCAAATATCGGAGTGGCCGACCTCAAAAATTGGATAGCTGGATAACTTTTTGGACTATTTATATGAATAATGAATAATCTACCTATATATTTAATGTAGATTAAATAACTTTTTGGACTAATTATATGAAAAAAAACAACCTGAAAACAAATAGAAAAACAATGAATAGAGAAGAACAAGATAGAGAACAAAATAGAAAAGCAGAAAACAACAGAAGTAGAGAAGAAGAATAGAGAGAAGCTTGAAGCAGTTGAGGCGGAGGAGGAGTTAAGACAAGAGAAGCTGCGAGAAGCAGCGATTAGAAGAACCACGATGGAGAAAGGTGAAAACGCAAATGAGAGAGGAGAAAACACGAACAAAATAAATTTTCCAATTATAAATTTTTTTAAGGGTAAAAAGATCTTTTTCACATTCCAAAAAAGCCCTAAAAGCAGAAAACTACTTCGGGCTGGGAAGCGCTCTACTCCCGCAACCCACTGTCCAGCCTTTCCGTCCGCTATCCAAAACTTAGATGCGCGGCGCTCCTCCGTAGCGGAGGGTTGCCGCACCAGGAGAGAATCCCAGGATAGCGCCCGGCGCGGCCGCTATTAATAACTATGGATAATAAAGAACTCCAAACATATTGAAGAAGAGTGAATCAAAACCAACATAAATAAATTTTGTAATAGCCCCTAGATAATAAATATCAGTTCGAAAGAAAACAAAACAACTTAAAGTAATTAGATGAAGGACTTAACATAAACACAAATCAATAACTATCGTGAAAATAAAAAAAATCAATTTTACCTGTAGTATCTGCTACTGCCATAAGGCTCTACACGACTTTGCTGCTTCGGGTGTCTCAATGCCATTTCCCTTTCCTTCTCTTTCTTCTCCCTTTTCAGCCTTTCTTCCCTCAACTCCTCCAATGTCTTCTTCCTTTTTTCACCCTTCCTATTATCACCACTATTATCACCATTAACACCACCTTCATCATCGTTAGGTTTCTGCTTTTGAACATACCAAGGCAACTGAACCCCTTTCCCTGCAACCCCATAACCTAACCTATATTTCTCATCTTCAGGACCAACAGCACGAATGGACTCTCCATGCTCTTTCGGCAACTTCAACTTCTTAGTCTTCTTCTTCATTTCCTCTTTCTCGTCAACATACTCTCTCTTCGGTACTCGAATTGGATCAAAAATCTTAATCCCTTCAAACAGGTTAATATGACCTAAATCACCGGCTTCCGCTACGGCTTCAACTTCTGGTTTGGGTTTAGATTCCGGTTCTGATTCTGGTACGGACTCACGAGGCTGAATAGTCGGTGCCAAGCCTCGCGAGGTACGGAGGCGTTCGAGACGTACCTCGGTGTCGCGTTTGCGCGATTGTTCGCGTTTAAGCTGTTCCTCTTTTGCGGCTTCTTCTTCATCTTTGCGGACTTTTTCTCTGTTATCGAAATTGTAAACGTTCCAACGTTTCTGAGGGAGGATGTTCAGACCGCCGTGACCACCCATATTTCTATTACTTTACGATTCAGACCTAATAATGGGAACAAAAAACACAAATTGGAAAATTCAAAGGATGAAGATATTATTGGACGCTACGAGTATCGATTTCGGAGTCGGTGAATCGAAATAGGACGAATTTGCGATACTGTTTGTGTATCTCTGCGAACCCTAACCTAACGGAGGAACAAGGCGATGGGCTAGAATAAGAATATGCAGTGAGAATCGGAATTACTAGTTGAATAAAGCTAGTCGGCGTGTTTTTCGGATCTAGATTACCTGCTGTCACATCGGTACAATGTAATATGTATAAGCCGTTTGATTTAAATTGTTCGGTGAGATCATAATAACCACTCGGTTACAAACGTTCAATATGCTCTACCTTAGATAATCCTAACAAGTGTTTTTTTTATCGTTCTTAAATTTTTTTCTTTTAAAGTCTTTTTTTTTATCTATTATTAGCGTTTAGATGAGCACGCCGCTTTTTTAATACGCATGAATGAAATATAAACGATATTTTTTGTTTAAATAAATTAAATTAATAATAAAAAATTACGTGAAAGTTAATAATAAAAAGTTATTAAGTAAATTATATAATAAATCACACCAAAACAAATTATTCCCTTTATATATTATATAGATTTAGATAAAAAAAATATTGTGGAAATAAAATTAAAGTAAAAACTGAGAGAGAGGGGGGGGGGGAATCGTAACAAGAGAGATGGATATTGCCGAGCTAACGAGGGAATCACCACTTGTTACGTGAACAATCTTCCGTGTGATATATCAAGGACAAAGGTAAAAAGAAAGTTTGCAAACTGGAAAAAAAAGAGTCATAGATGTATATCTAACAAACAAAAGGAACTAATACGAAAGCTACTTCAGATTTGTTAGGTTCATTGGGGTAAAAAATCAAGCCTGGTTAGAAAACCAACTCAAAGACATTTGGTTTGGAACTTACAAAGTAAGGGTGAACATATCAGTATTTGAGAGGAAGACACAGTACAACTTTGGAGATACAAAATCAAGGTATAGGAATCCAAGGAACGTAAATGATGTGATGTTCAGCGGCAAAGATATCAAAGCAAAGCATCCGCGTACAAGATTTCATGGAAACAGAAGAGAAGGGCAATCATACGCTGATGCAATAAAATACAATCAAGGACAACAAAATAAAGAAGAATCTCACAGATGGAGACAAATAGAAAAAGAGGATTTACAAAAGGAATTTGCTAAAGGGAATGAAGGCTTGAAGTTTACAATAAAAGAAGAAATAGAGTGGGCTAAGAAAGGATATGTGGGGTTCGTACACGATATCGATGACATTCAAACCTTACAATAAAAGATGATAAATAAAGGAATCACCACTGTAAAACCAATACATTTGGGAGGAGATAGAGTGTTCTTAAAGGTTAACGAATAAGAGAATTTCAATGAATTAAGGAAAGAAGAAAATCAGATATTCAATAAATGGTTCAGGATAGTTAGAGCCTAGGAAACTAGAGATGTAGAGGTTGCAAGATTCATATGGTGTCGGATATACGGTGTGCTAGTACACGTTTGGAGAAAACAAGTGTTTGCAACGTTAGTTATGGCATTCAGAAATCTTATAAAGATGGACATGGCAACGAAAAAATGGAGAGATTAGACGTGGCTAGAGTCTTGATCATAACACCCACGTTAGAGTTCATTAACAAATCAAGGAGAATTTAAGTTAATAAGGAGAGTTTTAACATTAACATAATATAAGAGCTTTGTGAATGTGCAAAAAACAAATGTGAAGTCGCAAGATGGGAGAGCGACGATGAAGAAGAAGGATACAATTCTAAAAATTCTGATGAATCTTTCATTCCACCTTCAATAAATTATATACAAGACGAAGAAGTCAAAAAAAGGTTAAAGGAAAACTTTTGGAAATTTATTCGAGAAAAAGAAAAGATTGAGAAAGGTAATGGTGTGGGGCTCGAGGTGGGTGAGTCATCATTGCAGCCCGGAGAAGACAGAGCAGGATTCAAAAAGAGTACTGGAAACGAGAAAAGAGTAAATTCAAACCTGAACTTTATTGAAGATAAGGAAATTTCGAGAGAAAATAACTTTAATTATAACAAAAAGTCAGAATTTGGAGGTGTGAAGAGGGTCGAGGCAGAAAGTCCTTCAATACTAAAAGCAATAGAAAATGAAAAGGCATAAATGATGAGAGAGAAAGAGTCAATCACAAAAGTAGGGGTAAGTGGCTCTATACTTTCTAGGGATATGCATGATAAAGGTCACGAGAAGCACATTATGTTAAATGAGGAACAAAATAATATTATAATGAACCAGGTTACCGTTATAGGACCAAGTGAAGGAATGTTAAAAAATAATTCTGAAGGTAATATTGTGGGTCACAAGGGGAGTTTGGGTTTAAACACATCCACAATCCGAAATCCAGTAAATACTTGGAAAGTTACAACAGTGGACGATGATGAGCAAAACCAAAACAACTCTGTAGAAGACAAGACGAAGACTCGACTTGCCAGATATTATTCAGAGACTGAAAGAAGACATAATTCGAAAATTATAAGCCTTAGTACGGAAGAGACTTTGAGAAAGGTGAAGCAAGAACACAAAGATATAAGAAGAAGGAGATCAGAAATCTGAAAGCTAAGAGGAAAGAAAGAAGGAAGAAGAAAAATGAGGCGCCTAACTGCAAATGTAATTGTCGTAAAAGCTCTGAAAATCAGGTAATTGTTTGATGCATCATTTGCATTTTCATATTTATTTTCATTTTAAAATTCATTTTGATGCATATTAATTCATATTATTGCATTTTTGTATTGTTTGACCTTTGTTAACTTCTGTTTGACTTGAATCTTGGTTTATTTGGTCAAGTTTCATGAAGCTCAATGGATCTTGGGTGTTGATGGGGTGAAAACCCTAATCCACCAAAATGGATGATTGATCTTGATGATAGCTTGATCAATCATTTGATTCAACTTGTTGTTTTGGTTTCCTTGTTGCTCCTTCTTCATCTCCTTTCTTCTTTTTTTCTTTTGGTTGATGAAAATCTTTAACATCATGGAACTTTGAAAGTTTTTGATTTAGATGAAACCATTCCTTTTTTTTTCTTTTTGTGTGGTAAGATTTAGGAGAATGACTTACATTTCATTTCTCTAACTTTTATTAACACATAAATTTTTATTGAACGACCTCCCATAGTATGACCCTCCTTATAAGTTATGTTACGATTGCTTACCATAGCGCTAAATTTGTCCCGAATTAGAAACTATGTCGTTTTTGTAAGTGAGATTGTCAGCCTCCTATTCTCCATGGTATTGTGTGAAATATATTGGATCTTTTGTTATCTAAGAGAGCTAGTGGCACACTTGTTGATTTTATTCAAGTTGGAGCGCTTCTCTTGGTAATGTATAAGGCCGTGTTTTTATGCTTTTGGATGTCTAGTCGAGTGTTCTCCAAAAAATGACAAATTGGCCTTTCTTTTCTAATCACTAACTTACTAACTTTCTTTTGTTTTACTTATTTACTTTAAAGTCATTAAGTTTATGCTCTTTACTTATTGAAATTTACTTTATGCTTTTACTTTAGCATTTCATATCATATTATCATATTGCTTTTTTTTGTCCACTTGGACTTGTGTTTATGCTTATGCTATTTTTATTTTGTCCATTTGGACTTTCTCTTAAAATACTAATAAATATCAAAACTCCCGTTGAATGCCAAATATGTCTTATTTTGAACCTTTACTCTTTGCATTTTTCAACTTATTTCTCAAGTATTAATTGATTTATTTCATGCTTTCTTGTGATTCTTCAATGAAATTGATTTTCCTTTAAATGCCTTGATATGTGTGTTATTGTGTATGAATTAGGTTGGATTATCAAAGAACAAGACACAATTGAATGGACAAGGAAGCCAAAGGATTTATGAAGAATCCAGTAGGTTCGCAATGCAAACAAGTAGCGAAGCGCAAGCGAGCTCGCAATGTGAGCTGGAACATTTGGATGGTAGTAGCTAAACCCCTTGCTGATGGCAGCGCGACGTCTTGGAGAAGAAGTTTGCAGTGAAAACAGGAGCTTCGTAATGCAAAGTCAAGGAAACCTCAGGGGAAGTTTAACTATTCAAAGGCACTTCAAGTGCCTATAAGTGAAGTTCGCAGTGGGAACAGGGAGCTCGCAGTGCGAGCAGGACATATTCTGTTTAGATATTTTTATACTATTTAGCACTTTTTGGAGATCATAACCCCATAACTTCATTTTTTAGAGATAGTAACATTGGCTTGGGAGAAAAAACCCTAAGTTCGTCATTTTTTCATTAAGGAGTGATATTTTACAAGTAGAAGCTGGATTTGTATCCTAGATCGATTCTTCATCTTGGATGTTCATTCATCTTCTTTATTTTCTTTTGAATCAAGCTATCATGACCATGGGTAGCTAAATCCTTTGTATCAAAGGTAGATGTAGTTTATCTTAGCTTGTATGTATTTTTTTAATCTATTTGTATATGAACAAGTGGATGATTAATATATGTTGAATGTTTTTGTTCTTAAAGATCTATTTATGATTTGTATCACTCTAGACATAGATTTTATAAACCTTGATCTAAAATATTCAACTATAAAAAAAAAACTCTAGACATAGATTTGTGAGTTGATATTTGCTTTGTGTTGATCTTAAAGACTATTGTATTTGTTGCTATCATGAGACATCATCTAATGACGAATACAATAATATTCACAACACCGCTCTAGACATAGACAATATTGAGAGGATACATGATTATATTAATCGAAAATGAATTCACATGCTTAATTAATCGAATATATACAAGTTAAGTTGATGAAATCTATCTTTGATATGTCTTGTTAAACAAACATATTTTAGAATTTAATCTTTGCTAAAAAAATCGTGACAAACTTATGATCCAAAAGAAACAAACTTTGAAAACCCTACTTAACACATTATAAACTGCAGAACAACAAGCAATATCACTACAATCCCTGTGGAGACGAT